GAAATTTTTATACCAATTAACAAAACCTTCCGATCCTTAAATTCTATACAGCTAATCGAGAAATCGAGAACGATTTAAAATAACCAATGTCTTGGCTTGAAAATATACAAGAAAGTAATTATTTCCCCTGATTGGAACTCTTCAGTATTTTTCTGTTTTTTAACATGTCTGTGAGTTTGCTCTAAGCAAATCTTTTTATACTCCATTGAAATATATCTTAAAGAATGACTTGATTAAAGCTTATTACCCATCACTTTCAAATAGACGGTCAAGAACAATTCTTTTTTTGCAGAAAAATTTATTGAAGGGGTAATCACTTCTTTTATTAAATATTTAGGAAATCCCCCCCCCATTAATTTAGTCTGTGAACATTCTAGGACAAACCTTTTTATTATTGATAATTATTTTAAAAATATTTTAAAAAATCTAGCTACCCCTTTTATTCCAACCATTCCGTCTATTTGAAACTTTGTTGACTTTCATGACAGTAGATAGCAAACAAAAGATGGCGTCCAGAAATGGCGTGGAAGGAGTGGTAGAATGGCAAGTGATTTTTGCCCTGCCATCGCAAAATTTGATTTCGCAATTGAAGTATGTATCTGTCCAGAGTATCGTGATAGAGGATAAGAATAAAATGGGGGAAAACTATTACGTTAATAATAATACTTTTTAAGAAAAAGATTAAAATACAGGTGGAATTTTTATATTCTTCATGGAGAACACTTGTCATCACTGTGTGTGTGTGTGTGTGTGTGTATGTGTGTGTGTGTATACGTTTAAGTGAAATTACAGACATAAGTTCGCTCGTATCAGCTGGTCTGAAAATTGCTTTGAAGGCTGAAGATTTACTGAAGAGAGTGGAAAAAATACAGCATGTACTGAAAAAAAAAGGAGAAAGTGTCACTATTTTTACTCTCTTTTCTGATAATAAGAGTGTTTCTTAGCGGCTTTCAGGTCATGTGAACCCGATAGAGAGATATTAAGTATCTGGTAGTGTTGATATGTTAAGCCTTCTTTCCAGTCTTTCACGTCGTGTGAAAAAAAAAATTGACCCGGTATTTTTAAAGCGTTCCAGACTTTTGCGCTATGCGAGATCGGGAAAACGGTATCAAAATTTACTCTGTTTATCATTTAAGTAAAGAAAATAGTGTGAAACATTCAAAGTAATATAAGTAGGGTTTAGAGTTTTGACCCAGTTATCCTACACTTCCTGCTCTGAGAGTCAAGATTAAATTTTGAAAAATATTAACACTTGACTTGGTTATTCGGAAGTTTAAGATTCAAATAGCCAAAACTGGATATTCTCACAGTGAATCAAGACAAAAATCAGGCCGTTCTCCTGAGTGTTTTGAATTGGGCGCGGTCTTTAAGTCAGGGTGTGCGAGTAAGGATTTACACTCTAAAGTTAGATCATAACATTTTCACTGAGCAGAAGGCCAAATGATCCCCCACTTAACCCCTCACCGGTGACGGGCCAAGGTGGAATGAAACGTTAACAATAAATAACGCTGATCCATCCCGTTAGACAAATATCGACAAAAACAAATATGTTTATTTCTGATTAACAGATGACACTCAGCCTGTGTTAAGAAAGCGATGACCAATTTCCTAATGAGGACGTTCCAGATTATTTTAAATTTTCGGGTGATGAAGTGACGTCTAATCGAAAATCAATCACTGTCGGTGATTAATTTGAAAATGAAAATGAAACAGTTGATTACATAAAACATGACCCGCTTTCAACAAAGGGCAGGCCATAGTTATGGACGTACGAAGATATAATGTAACCTGGCAGCTGATCTCAATTCTGATCTCGCTATAACAGCTCGAAGGGAAATAAGTGTCTTGTAACTTTCAATAACTAAAGAGCCTAGCAATTATCGTTTCATCATAACTGACCCGACCTAAATTTCCTCCAATCACGATTAACAGTTGCCTTCGAAATAAACCTCTATGTTTTGAACGTCTATTAGCTCTCAGTTTAACTCCAGTGGAACCCATGTATACGATCCATAAATATAAAGATAGAGAAAAAAAGAAATAGTCGGTTCATTGTATCGCTTCAGAAAGTATTTCTTTCATTCTGACATACTTTATCTTTACAAGAGTAAAATTACACAGGAAATGAAATATTGCTGCCACATTTGGGTTGCAGCTGCTCAATCTTTACATTCCTGTTCAAAATCGTTTACGCGTTCTTATGGGGCAAGACTTATTCACCACTATGGAACCTCACAGACATAGCGACGCAACCTTCTAAAGTTATTCAATCGCTATTTCTGATGAGTTCCATTTTGTTCACACCTTCACTACTCAGACAACCCATGTTAATTCCACAGAGTCAAATCACTCACATTTCTTCCGTGTCCAAAATGTAACGAGAAAGTTCAACTCAGGCAGCTTTTTGCCCCCGAGAACTGATACTTTATGGAATAGACTCCTGTGTGTATGCTTCATTGAACACTACAATTTTAAACCTCTTCATGTCAAGGGCCAATCGTTATCTGCCCTTATCCTCATAATTTTCTCTTTTTATCAATCCCCCCTCCCTCTCTCTCTCTCTCTCTCTCTCTCTCTCTCTCACCTTTATCAAGCCTCATTCATTATAACCTTTCTAACAGTAACCCACCACCACCACCGTTGAGTGGCTCTCGATCCTTGTCTTGATAAATTTTTGCAAAAAAATGGCGCCTGTTGCATTATTTTTCGGAATTTAGGTTTTCTTTTCATTTTCCTTTGTGGTACAATGAAACATTAGGAACTTTATGAAATCTTAACATGGGAAAGAATTTTGTCTATAACGATGTTTTGAAGCAACTGTATTGCATTGGTCTTATTCTTTATTTACATTACTTATAGTCGGACTAATACACTTATCAATTGGCAGAAGAGCTGGACCGACAATGAAAATGAGCTTCGTACAATCAAATCAGTCCTGGGAGAATAGAAGCAGATGTCTAGAAAGGGGAAAAAAAGCTCATGTTGGCTCAGCTTGCACATAGGTCACAGCTATACCTCATCCTTTCATACTGGCTGAAGAATTAAGATCAACCAACATGTATAACAAACCAGCCAAGCTAAAGTCACGGTGAACCACATTTTAACTGAATGTACCTATTTAGTACCTGTAAGACATAAACACTACAAGGAAACTAACATGAGAAAACTTAAAATACTGAAATCGTTCACATAATATCCTACATTAAAAAAATAGGTTTAAACCAACACAATAGATCATATACATAATATATAATATATATATATGTGTGTGTGTGTGTGTGTGTGTGTGTGTGTGTGTGTGTGTGTGTGTGTGTGTGTAAAACACATAGTTACGCTGACAGTATAATATTATGAAGAAAATATCGTACAATTGTGCTCAAAATACGTTTAGATGAAGTCATAAAATTATGTTCAAAATACTTAGATTTTGGTATTAAATAAGCCATTGACGTTGATTTGCCGTAAAACAAAATAAACCAAACCTAATATCCTTATGTTTTTTGTTATTACCATAAGGCTTTGCCTGTTGTTTCCTGCCACCTTCTTCAAGTGTCTATCGATCTGTGTAACCATCAGAGAATTTGTTTTGAGCAATTCGAAATATCCCTAGACTTGGGAAGCGAAACAAGAACAATCTACTTACGTAGATTAAACAAAGGTTCTAGTTCGAAATTCGTTGAAGGCTATACGTATCAACAGACACCCGAAGAAGACCTGAAAGCACAACGGTCGAAACGTTGTGATAACATCAACAAAGATGAAACATTAGTCCGAATGTAAATAATGATAATTGCCCATCCTAGAAATACAGACAGAAAGTCCTTTGTTGTTATGATGATTGTATGTAAAAGTTACATACATTTCAGGAACAAATCAGAGATTTTTCTTTGTAATAATGTGCCTGCTTTGAACTAACATTATTGAACTATACACTTATGTATAGTTCAATAATGTGAGTTCAAAGAAGGTACATTATTGCAAGGAGGAGGCACGGTGGAGTAATGGATAGTGGCTTGGACTGAGGAATCGGAGAGCCGATTTCGAATTCCAGTCAAATCCATTACATTCACTTATGTGCTAATACCCTTCTTCTCCCCCCAGCTATGGGTAAATAGCAGGACAGACCGAGTTCTATAGCCTTGGATGCCAACTGGTTTACCGCAGAAAGAAATAGCAACCTACTGGGGGAAGAAAATCTGATCATGTATCTTTCGATACATGATCTCCTGTATCGCGCATGGCACATAACTGACTGACATAGGTGTAACGTTCCAAGATCTTTATATAATTGTCATATGGTATGGGTTTAATGTCATATGGTATGGGTTTAATGTCATATGGTATGAGTTTTTGAATGTTCAATAATATAATGAAAAACTTTTTATTCTTCTGCAATGAATGACAGCCACCGATAAGTATTAAAAATTAGGCTGTAGTTATTTTTGGTTTTGGAAATAGCTGAAATAATCATTTAATTATTCCTTATACAAGATGTATAACATGTCTGGAACATTACAAGACGTGTATAATCCAGCAATTATTATTTAAAGTAAATAATTTAAATGTGAGGCATAGAATTTTACTGAAAATAATCCGATATTTGTTTTTCTTTCGTCAATACCTTCAAAATCTTTTTGTTACCTCACGTTTCCCGTTGAAAAGTAAATTAACAGGGTGATGTTAGCTGAACTGATATAATTTATAATACAAAGTTATTGAAAAATTGTCGATTATATAAAATTGTTTCTGTTGATCGTGATATCATGGGCAGGATTTTATTAACACATTAATACCCCCACACCATCCCGAAATGTGCGAAGGGAAATGCAACAGAGCTTGAACTTATCTCGCTGATTTGCACTTACCATACCTGTAAGCGTTATACTCATAATGTAGATCGAAAAGTCAGTTTTGTAATTCTCTTTTTGTTCATACGACTTTCGTAAGTGAACATATGTCAAGATTTTATTTTGGAAAAGAAAAAAGAATTCTAGAGATAGGCTGGCTGGCTGGCTGGCTGGCTGGCTGGCTGGCTTTCTTTCTTTCTTTCTTTCTTTCTTACGCATACTACTTTTCTTCTTTACATTCTTATACTGATTTCCTTCCGTTCTTTCTTTATTGATTTCTTCCTTGATTGTTCTCTTTCTTTTTTCATTTCTTTCTGACCTTATCCATTCTGCTTTTCCTCCTTAAATTCTTATAATGTTTTTCTTTCTTTTCTTTTCTTTTCTTTTCTTTCTTTCTTTCTTTCTTAATATGCAATGCGAGATTTATTTCTTAAATGCACACACACTTTTCTTTCTTTAATATTTTTATCGTTCTTTCTTTCTTTCTTTCTTTCTTTCTTTCTTTCTTTCTTTCTTTCTTTCTTCTGTTACCATTCTTACTCATACTACTTTTCTTTCTTACATTCTTATACTGCTTTCCTTCCGTTCTTTCTTTTCTTTCTTTCTTTCTTTCTTTCTTTCTTTCTTTCTTTCTTTCTTTCTTTCTTTCTTGTTCTCTTTCTTTCTTTCTTTCTTTCTTATACTGATCTTATCCATTTGCTTTTTTCCCTTAAATCCTTATAATGCTTTTATTTCTTTATCTTTCTTTCTATCTTCTTTCTTTCTTTCTTTCTTTCTTTCATTCTTAATATGCAAGGTGAGAGTTATTTCTTAAAATGCACACCTTTCTTTAATATTTTATCATTCTTTCTTTCTTTCTTCTGTTACCATTCTTACGCACACTACTTTTCTTTCTTACATTCTTATACTGCTTTCCTTTCGTTCTTTCTTTTTTCTTTCCTCCTTTCTTTCTTTCTTTTTTCTTTCCTTCTTTCTTTCTTGCTTGTTCTTTTTCTTTCATTTCTTTCTTTCTTATACTGACTTTCTTATCCATTTGCTTTTCTTCCTTAGATCCTTATAATGCTTTTATTTCTTTTTCTTTCTTTCTTTTTTCTTTCTTTCTTTCTTTCTTTCTTTCTTTCTTTTATATACAGCCCATCTTATGTATACTACTTTCTTCCTTACATTCTGATATTGCTTTTCTTTCTTTCTTTCTTTCTTTCTTTCTTTCTTTCTTTCTGATTCTGCTTTTTTCTCATCCTTTCTGTTTTTCTTCTTTTCTTTTCTAATATTGCCTTCTTCCTGTTTGTCTTTCTCATTCATACAGAATTGTATTTATTTATTTTTTATTTGCGGCATAAAAAGTTGATCAGACTAAACGTAATTTGCCGGTAATGGCTGATTGTGTGAAAGCAATTGTCTCCATTATTCCCTCAGCCATTTGCTTATAAATAAATAAGCATCTGGTATAGAACTAAGTAAAATTCCACCGTCCCAGCTTGCATTCCCAACTAAACAGGATCGCGTCAATAAGCGGCATCTGGTGCACCGGCGTCTTTTATCGAGATTTTACTGTTGCTATCAAAATCCGCTCTGCCTTGATTGATGATTCTCTCTGTTTCTACTCTCAAATGTAATTACATATCTTTATCTGTAGCTCCCTCCGACATTCGACATCAGAGCGACCGCCCTTAATTGACCCTGACTGATCCTCGAGAAACTGGAAGTTATCACTTTCTTTCTGGTTACCGGTGACGAACATTTGCTGTTCTTTTGAGGCCCCATTCAAATTTCACCTGACAACTTCAAATCCAAAACGTAGAAGAGTTGGTATGAACCAAATCGATCACACTTTCTCACTTTTGTTTTGTTGATGTCTCTGTCTCTCTCTCTCTCTGTCTCTCTCTCTCTCTGTGTCTCTGTCTCTCTGTCTCTCTGTCTCTCTCTGTCTCTCCCTCTGTGTTCCAGGCATGAACTCAATTTCCTGACCTAAATATTGCGTTCACCCATGAAAGAGACTGTCGCAGAATAGTACTGCCACTCGAGGTGATATCGATTCTGCAAGTGATCGGAAAACCATTCCACAGATGTTGAGCTATGCTGTCTCGATGACAGACCACAGTTCCATGATATTCTTTGGTGTCGGGCTTTGCGTGCCAATAGACACTCTCTATCACGCCCAATAAATGCTCGATTGGGCTGTGATAGCCACATAATTCTCCAGAAAGATCATCAAACCAATTCTGGGCCACATGTGCTCGATGATATGGCGTATTATTCTGATGGAACAACCCATACTACTGGAATATATAAAACCCATGAATTGGTGCATATATTGTTTACTCAACACAAAGCTTAAGAGCCAATCAAGATACAGATTTACTGATTGGAATTGTTGCAATGGCATAATGAGAGATCTTAAGAAAGGCATACAATGGGAAGATGTAGGATCTGACTCTTGTAAAGATATAGAATGGCAACAGGAGTTAGGTATTGTCTTTTGCGAAACAAAGAACCTACCATTCTCCCAGTACCTTTCGTGATAGTACATATAAACTAGTTCATCTTGCGGTCTGGAGTGAGTTTTATACCCAAGAGACATTCGAGAAAAGCATATTCAAGTTGAACTGAATTAAGCGAACTTGCCCTTCTGCCTTGATGATGGTCATGATAA